TAATTTGGCGGTTTTTAGATTGTTCGGTTTTTAATTTTTAGTGCATGAGAACTGAAAAAGGGTACAGTTTCCCGCCCAGGACTTGCTTTCATTCCGACACGTCGTCAAAGGATAAGATCGAAGGGTTAGAACTGGAACTGAGTAATAAAATGGAAAAGGGCTATTTCCAAAGTATGAGTTATGAAGAAATGGGCTCCATTTCTTACGTTAGAAATGATAACTGAGCTATACCCAAATTATAGCCCATTTGTGCAGAACAAAATACAACGGCTTAACTTACGTACAAAATTATTTAAGATTTTTTTTTTTAATTTTTTTTTAATATTCTATATTTTAATGTTTATGAATAGTTGAATTTTTTTTTTTATTTTATTTTTCTTTTGACAAGGTCTTACATTGTTTTGTTTTTTAGTTATATTTTAGCAAAAAGGCGAATAAGAGAAAAATTCTTGTATGATCACGAAGCGAGGTATGTATCCAACTAATTTGACATATATTAATCCCCGGTGATTAGATGACCAATTTCAAGAACAATTGAGTTGGAATTGCTGCTGGCAACAGTACTGTGCAGTATAGAAAATTTCAAAGATACGAGTCTTACAAATTTTTGACATCTTCAAAATCATGTTTCATAACCTTTGAACGTGGTGTTGCATCTAATTTAAGAAATCTGAAGAAGACAAGTTTGATACACGGTTATGTATGTTGAACCAGTTTCGTGATGGAGAGTCTGATGTTGCTATTGTTGACGATGGTAAAACTTTCAAAATCACTTCTCGAAAACAATAAATGCTATTTATTGGATTTTGATTTTGGAGTATTTGTTTGGGTTGGCGGGGTAACTCAAGTTGAGGAAATGAGAAGTTCCATTCGAGCAGTTGAAGATTTTGTGCTAGCCAAGGTAGAACACATTGTCGTTCAACCTTCGTGTTCGACAGGAGAAAACGACGTGGATTAATTAATACCATGGGTACGCCTCTACACACCAGCCACAAGAGCGTGTCGGCTTCGAGGGTGAAGCCTTCCGAACCGGGGGATAATAATATAGATTATTATTATTATTATTATTATTATTATTATTATTATTATTATTATTATTATTATTATTATTATTATTATTATTATTAGCATTGATTATTATTGTTAATTATTTTTATTTATCTTGGCTTGGTGGACAATTTAAGGAGTATGGTTTGTGGGAGCCTCCTTTAAAGGACTCGTCATCTATTACTTTAAGTGGTTGTTTATGAATGACAATATGAATTTATATCATAAGATATTTTTTAGATTGCGATCTCATTAACATTGTCTCATTCGTAGGCTTCCGTACATCAACTTTCAAATCATATCAGGCTCTGGGGATCGTAGACGGTGCCACAAATGGGTGAATGCTTTATATGGTCCTAGTTATGATAGTTTTTTTTTTCATCGGTAGGTGCTTTCGTAGTTTGCTACGTCAGGCCAACCTCGAAGTCGTCCCCAGAGCATCCAACCCACCGACTTCTTTCGAACAACTGCTTTTGGCTCCGGAGTTCCCCTTGCCCCCCCTAGCTTGTGGCAGGAACTCTTTTCTTCCGTTTAGCAACAATGCGTCTGGTTAGCTCAAATGGGCTTATCGGTCTCTTGTTTCGGAGAACTCAGTGGCTCAAGAAGAATAGAAAAGAATCTATTCTATCTAATTTCGAAGTTGGTACGTATTTTCATACTTACTGGGCGATCTCTTGTTTTTTTTTTAATTTTTTAATAAATACACAATGAGTGTCAAACTGAAGATCGTAAAATGAAGATTAATTAAATATTGTATATTAACAAAATAAATGACAAAAAAAAATGGTACATGTTTTTAAAAATGAAATGACATTATTACTTAATAATAAAAATAGAAATATAAAAGTAGACAACGATATAATAATAAATAGGAAAAAATCATATATAGGAAAATTTCTTATTCTAGATATTTAAAAGTATTCAATTTTTATATATATTTTTTAATTTACAATTTTATCTTTGTGAAATATAAAAGTAGAACAGTGATTTTAGTTAATGGTTCAACCTCAGATCCACTTGGTGAAATAATCCACCGCCACTATAAAAAACTTATGTTGTCCCGTTACCTGAGGAAGGGGACCAACCATATCAATTTCCCATGGCAAGGGCAAACTTATTGGGACCATGTTCTCAGCCACCCGATGAGTTAGTGGACCGTGTTGCTGGCATCTTTTACACTTTTGCACGAGATCATGCGCCATTGCTCTCATCGAGGGCCAGAAATATCCAGCTCGGAACACCTTCCCATCCAGTGACCTGGCCTTCATGTGATCGCCGAAGCATCCCTCATGGATCTTCTTCAACACATATTTCCCTTCCAGCTCAGAAATACACCTCAGGTGCAGTCCCACGTATGACCACATATACAATACTCCATTTTGCAAGTAGAACCTTAAAGCCCTTCTTCGGATCTCCCCTCAATCGTTCTCGCAACCATTTCACGAGAGGCGAATGGTCGAGTATAAGTAGAAGTATTCTTATGGTAACAAACTACACCAAATTTCACATGCATTGCAAAATACAGATAATAATAAATTAGTAATATAGGTTCGTAATCAAGATTTATCAACCCTGGAAAAGGAACACTACTAGCATAGCTGTATGGTTGGGTGATATTATGAACTCGTACGTCCTATTATTTAATAATCTTGCATTTGTTTGATTATTATTGCTATTATTTTTGTTTTTTGGGCATAATCTGCTCATAAACCATCAAATTTTTCATCTCAAATCCAAAATATCTCAAATTTCTATCGCCCGTTTAGAGCAAACTGCGCAAACATGGCAGTACCAGAATGTTCCTCAATAAGAGGAAGGGGGTCTGGAGCCCTACTGCCCGCGTGATCAAGTTCCTTGTTCTCAGGGCCGACATGCGGCATAACAAGAGGGGAAATGGGGCTGGAAAGCACCTTATTCTGTTCCTCGGGCGAGGGGGACGCCTCTTGCAGCTGCAGAGCATACTCCAAATTCCACAGTACGTCTCCCATTGTGGGTCTATCCACCCCATATTCGGAGAGGCATTTCTCGGCCGCCTCCGCAAACTTGTTCATTGAGTCAGGATTAATGTGTCCCACTAAAGTGGGGTCAATTATCTTGTCCAGTAACCCCTTCCTCTTCCACTGCATGGCCCATTCGGCCAGATTGACTTGCTCCCTAGGGAGGGCCGGGTTTATGGCGGGCCGTGCACAGAGGGCCTCCAGCAACACTACCCCAAATGAGTACACATCCGACTTATCCGTGAGTTGCTGCTTGCGGAAGTACTCGGGGT